GAATAGAAAAGAATAGAATTCTTTATTGCCAAGTGTGATTGGATACACAAGGAATAGAATAGAATAGAATAGATATTGGAGAATAGAATAGAATAAAATTCTTTATTGGCCAAGTGTGATTGGACACACAAGGAATTTATGTAAATATCTCATTTTCAAGTTGAGTATTCACAAAGCTGAACAAATCTTTTCACATGTGGGCAGTACATGTATGCATGACTATACATACATGTACAGAGTTTTATGTCAGTTATGGTGATCTCTAGGTGATGTGTGCATATATTCATATACATCCATCCACATGCATTCATACATGATTGTGTGTGAGCACATTTCCTCTGTTGTCTCCCTCTAGCGTTGTCTAGAAGGTCACGAACCTGATGCCAGTCACACATCTTGTGTCCCCTGTTTCCCGGGTTTTTTCTCTACTGAGGGATCTTCGGAATGCCAGCCGTGTCTAGCAGGTAAGCCAATTTCTGGGGCATCTCCATCAATAACTAGGTAACTATGGCTTCCTAAGGTGGGACTAGAACTCAATGTTTCCTGGTGACTGGCTTAAAGTCCCCCAGCCAGTTTCATGCCTAAGGTGGGACTAGAACTCACAGTCTGCTGGTGGTCAGTTGAAAGTCATCCAGCTGTCTTTCATGCTTAAGGTTTCTAGCTTGAGACCTTAACCAGTAGACCAGACTTTTTCTTAAATCCAACTCTTATCATCTTGAACTCTTGGCTAAGATTTTCCCCAACACTATGTGATAGCTCCGTATTCCACAACACAAAACTGACCACAGACTTTATGTAAATAGTGCAAACTTAACTTTCTGATTTGGGAACATCAAGGAGGGAAAGAAGAGGCAGATCCTTCCTGAATCAATGTGAGGGAAGTGTTGTGGCCCATCAGTGGCCAGCGGAGTATGGCAGCAGATTTGAACAGTGAAGAGGTTGGGGAGGAACATGGCTAGTCCTGGAGTCTGGGGAAGTCTCGGGCAAGGGCTCTATGTGGGAGGTGGAGAGGGGGCCAGAGCCGTATGCAAGTTATCAGCTGCCTTCAGAGTCAGAGATCAGTGAGGCAGATGAACAGCTGNCCCTCTCCCTTCTCCATGCCTCTCCTCCCCTCCCCCTCTTCCTTCCTTCCTTCCTTCCTTCCTCCCTCCTCTCTTCTTCATGCCTCTCCTCTCCTCTCTTCCCCCTTTTCCCCTTCCTTCCTCCCCTCCCCCTTCTCCATGCCTCCCCCTCTCCATCCCTCTCCTCTCCTCTTGTTCCTGTCTTCCTCCCTCACTCCATCCCTTCCCTTCTCCGTGCCTCTCATCTCCTCCCCTCCCCCTTCCTTCCTCCCCTCCCTTCTCCATGCCTCCCTTCCCACTTTCCCTCTTCTCCCACTTCCTTTCTTCCTCACTTCCTCATTCCTTCTATCCATCTCCTTCCTTCCCCTCCCTTTCCCTCTTTCCCTCCCTTCTTTCTTCCTCCCTCCGTCCCTTGGTCCCTCCTTCCATCCATCCATCCCCTCCCCTCCCTCCCTTCCCATCATTTTTTTTTGGGATGAAAGAGCTTAAGGATTAGAAGAGAAAATAAATATGAGTCAATACTTGAAATTCACCCACGTTTGAGGTTTGGTACTCAAGGTTCACAGCCAAAATACTGACATTTGGATTTCAAGATACTATTATTACAATGATGACCTTTCAGTTATATTTCCAAAGCAATTGGCAAAAAATGAACTGAATGTGAATTTATGGCCCAAAAGCTCTTGGCAGCATTTTTGATAGTTCTGGATCTGGTAGGGCTGGAACACGATCTGTAAGCTGTTGGTCTTTGAAAGCTGAATATTGGTGGGATATTCTGTGATATATTGCTGGTAGCTAACACTGTTGTCAGGATTAAATAAAAGGGATGTGGTGGCTCAGTGGCTAAGATGCTGAGCTTGTCAATCAAAAAGGTTGGCAGTTTGGCGGTTCAAATCCCTAGTGCCACGTAACGGAGTGAGCTCCCGTTACTTGTCCCAGCTTCTGCCAACCTAGCAGTTCGAAAGCACGTAAAAAATGCAAGTAGAAAAAATAGGAACCACCTTTGGTGGGAAGGGAACGGCGTTCCGTGCCCCTTCGGTGTTGAGTCATGCCGGCCACATGACCACGGAGACGTCTTTGGGTAGCGGTGGCTCTTTGGCTTTGAAAAGGAGATGAGCACTGCCCCCTAGAGTCAGGAACGACTGGCACATATGTGCGAGGGGAACCTTTACCCTTTTAGCAATGTACGGCAGGAACATTTGATATTTGTTCTGTATTATCGTGTGTACGGCGGAGATAATGCCAGGATGGTTGCACTGTGTCCGATATTTTAATATGAAACAAATAAAATATTTCCTAAAAACAAAAAGGTTTTGGTAAGTGAGCGTGGAGGCGAGGAGATGAGATTACATGACTTGTTTGCTCAGTTTCAATGACGCAAGAGCGATTTCAAGGGAAGGCCGGAACGGAGAAACGCCCGGAGGTAGAAATATTTCCTAGCTCACAAACAGCAGAGTAAGGACAGAGCCATGGACTCCTCTGTCTTACCCACTGGGCATTTG